TGTTATGGCTGGGCCTGGCCAAAGTCAGTGTAGATACCCAGACAGTTCCACTATGTTTGTCTTAGAGTCTTAGATGGCATGAAAAATGTGCAAACCTCGGCCGAGGTATGCCAAGAGCATCTTCTGGTCAGAGATTCGACTGCCAGTGTTCATTGGTGAGTACCACAGCGTCCATGTTGGTGCCAAGGATTGGGCTTGTGGGTCTCTAGGGGGGTGTAGGACGGACGGCCTTTATGTAAGTCCTTCTTTAAGTCTTTCTCATCAGTGGGTCTACACAGAGCTTGGTGAGGGCTCAAAGGGTCGAATTGATGCTGCAAGCTTTTCGGTAGCGAGGGGCAGAGCATTCCTACCAGTCGAAGTAGTACCGAGACATTTTGGCCTTCCATGCTGCCCAGTTCCAAATGAAATGACCACTTCAGGGGAAATCTGCTGTCTCTGCTAGGTTTTCCCAACCCAGTGCACAAACCCACAAACTTGCATTGCCACGTGCCTGAATAGCATGCTGTGCATTTCACGACAAGAAACTCGTGACCCCACTTGACACCGAGCACGATCAGACTGATCCCAAACCCGTAGCCCAAACCGCCAAAGCACGTACACATTTTGTATGCATAATCATATACATATATATATATATATATACACATATAAAGAAATATAAACATGTATACGTTTTGGAGGATGACCTGCCGATTTTGGTGAACGATGCCCTCTCATCGAAGTATCCCTTCTACTTGGGCTACAACTTCTTCGAGCAATTCGGCAGCAAAGGATGGCACGATCCATCGCCATATCGGAGCGCGAACTTCCCCGGAACCAGCATCACCTTACTGCTCGTACTTCTATGAGCCACCCGACCCACACTACCCCCTGGCCCCTGCCCACCCTACGAACTACGCTTGCCAAATCTGGGCTGGGGCAGTGGCAGCTCCTCAGGCTCCCTGCCCGTAGCAGGGGCTGCGACGGGAGCTGAAGTTGCAGACTGGACATTCAATGCCGTGCACAGCGCAGGTGCTAAGAATGTGCCAGCGCCCTGAAAACCAGAAGCCGAACATCCCTAAAGACTAAAACCAAAGTGCAAGCTGTCAAAGTGCGCTGCACTAACAAGCCTCCAGCCCAGACGATGGCGGGGGAGGGTGTTTTTTTGAAGCAGTGTGTCGTCTAGGATGTTGTCATCAATCCCACTTACCCCACCGACACCTTCGAAATCCCAAGCTCGAGTTTGCAAAGTCGAAGTGCAAATACTGAGCATAATTGATGTGCTGTTAAGTGTAGTCGGTAGGTGGGACGTTACTACTACTACGATGACGACTACCATGCTACCGCTGCAGCTGCGGCTGCTACTCCAACTCCTGCTCCTGCTGTCGCTGCTACTGTCACGATTTTACTACTACCACCACTGCTACGACGACATCTAGTACGACTTCTAGTGGGGCCATTCGCAAACCGTGGAAAGGTTTGGCATGCATGCAGGGCCTAGCGGGCCTAGCAGGGAGAGGAGCGCGCGTTGCCATCGGCCGTAGATTCTGTTTCGGGGTCGTGCGTCTTGGACATCTGCTCACATTGACGTTCGAGTTCACATCAGTTCCTGTCAGGCCAACGCGGTCACCGACTGTCGAGAGAGAACGCTCGGAGCAGCCGAGGTTCTCCGTCAGGTACGACAAGGGAGGAAGCGAAAAGGAGTTCGGCATGTTCGGCTATGGGGACTGCCCGCTGGTGGAAATGAATTACAGCGGGAAGGCAGGCCAGTGACGTGCGAAGCCAAAGAACTCCGGGGGTCTATTTGGTTTCTGGGCCTCCATGCTTCGTCTAGTTCCGAGGTGTGTTACATGGTCATCGTGGATAGGCCGTTGGGCTGCCCTGTGCAACAGGTCTACACAATTTGGAATTTGGCCGCTTGCTCAGTGTTTCCGGGAGACCGTAAGCATGCCAGGGTCCGACAATCAGCGTCACCTTTCCTCAGCCTGCATGACGTTGTGGCCAACTGCTTGACGCTTCGGACGAGTGCAGGTTGCGTGCAGTTGCCCCTGGGAACCGATATATGTATGTATATACATATATATATATATATATATATATATATATATATACACACCGGTATACACAGTTATATACAAATAGATATATATATATATATAATATAATATATATATATATATATATGTATAATACACATGTGTAGTGTGTGTATATATATACATATATACATATATACATATATACATATATATACATATATATACATATATATATATATATACATATATATATATATATATATATATATATACATAGATACATATACATATACATATATATATATATACACATATATATATATATATATATGTATATATATACATATATATATATATATATTGCATCGATGCTGAGCCCCAGGTTCCTGCCAAGGACAAGTACGGGTATCCTCTCTCCAAGGCCCTGAAAAACGCCTACGGCAAGGCTGGGCCTGGCAAGGGTCCGTCACCTTGGGGGAGGTGGTGGCTTTCTATGTGTTCCTAAATCTCTCCATTGGAGAAGGGAGCCTTTGAAGTTCTGGATCCCACTTCGCCTTCTGAGATACCATGCAGGTTCTCCTGCACTTGAAGCTGAAGGTTTAGGATTGAGAATCTCATCCTCAGCCTTCCTGAGCGGCGTGCGTTGCAGACCGGCGTGCATTGCAGTGTTGGGTTGTGTTTCTGCAGCAGCTGCGAGGGTCCCCAGTTCGAAGATGAATCTTAAATCGGAGGTCAAAAAGCAAGATTCGGATCCCTGTTGCATCGGATCTCGAACAGGGCTCGGCTGGCCCAGTCTTGCGCAACGCGCCGTGTCTTGAGGAGGTCTTGGGTGTCTCCTGAGGCCGGGGGCGGGCGCATGGTTTTGCGGACTTAGTCGGCGTGGGAGCCGCTCCCGGGTAGGAGTTGGTAGGAGATGGGATGCGCAGTCATGAGAGGACTGCTGAAGAAGCTATCAGATTCAGGTGTCATTGACAGCTGGTGAGAAGAGGACTGATGTTGACAATCAGACTGAGCATAATCATAAGATTACACGACATGGTTTGTGAGCACGGGATGAAGACCCACACAGGGACCTTTGGTTCAAAGGTTCCTGACATGTCTGTCGGCTTCCGGTCCCGTCACATCCTACATCTGCCAAAAGCCGTAGCCCCACGCGGCTCTCTGTGTTGAGTCCTCGTAGCCGTCGCAGCTCCGTAGCCCGGGTGCTCGGGTGCCACTTGCCGGTTTGCTTGACACCTCCTCCGGGTCTAGGACTAGAAGGCTTCTTTCGTGCAAAGGGTGGTGGGGCTCATGGTCATGGTGAATCCTTGTGCTTTGCCCTTGCCGCCAGGGGGCGCCATGTCTTTTGAGACCTGGAGTGGCAAGTCTTTGGGCTTGGCCCGAGCAGAGGATCTGCCGGGAAAAAGACGTTAGAAGGCTTCGCACTAAGCTGCAAAGCCACGACCGACCGGCTTTGCTGACGCGAGTTGAACGCCAGGGCCTGGCGTAGCTTTGGCCATGCAACATAGCCATCAGTTGATGTATCTCAGTCTTCAGACTTGGCGAGTGGAGAGGATCTGTTACAGTTCGCAGAGTCACCCAGAGCGCCTGCAGGCTTTAATTCGTCGCTTGCATCCTGCCAACTGCGCAGCTGCGCCTCATCGTTTCACCCGAGCGTTAGCCGTTAGCTAATTAGTGACGTAGCCGTCGACACCAAATCTATTTGTCTCAGATGCATTGATCAGGCGCGACTAGTGCCCAACGAAAACGTCTGCAGGCAAGGGCCGTCGATCCGACGGTAGCGGTAGCGCATAGCCTTGAACGTCGGACGTCCGTCTTCGCTGCTTCGCACACTCTCACATATGTGTGCGTGTATGCATGCCTGGATGCATGTTTGTCTGCGTAGGCAGGTAGTTAGGGAGGTAGGCAGCCTGGGAGGGAGGTAGGTGGGCAGATAGCTAGGCTAGGTAGGTTACATACATACACATATACCTTACATTCATATGCACTGTACACACACATGTATATATATATATATACACGCAAAAATATCTTTATGTATGTATCTATGTGTGTATAATATGTCTGTATCCACACGCACAGAGAGACAGAGACTCATATATATATATATATATATATATATATATATATATACACACACTTTATGTATATATCTGTGTGTGTAAACGTGTGTGGTTAACCTATTAAGACGGGAATAAAGTGTACCTGCGCCACCCCAGGCCGGGACATCGACTCGGAGCTCAATCCGTGCGCGTTTGGAAGGCGGTGTAAAAGGCCCCACTCCACACGCAAGGGGAAATTGGGAGTCCGTCAACGAGGTTGGAGTGGCTGTGGGATTTACTTGAGCTTTGATGTTGTGGATTTCAGATTTCCCACCACTTTGTTGCAGCCTTTTTTCGTCCGTTTGGAATACAAACCAGGACACACCAGATTGACCGGGACCAGCGTTACAGCCATTAATCAGCTCAATCCTGCTCCCGAAGTCTGCAACACCTAAATTCAGCAAGCGTGTATCCGCGAGTTTTGGAAAGTTGATGGCTGAGCCACCAGGCCTTCTTTTCACAAATCGACAGGCAAGGGTGCTTCTACGACCACCCCGAGGGACGGTTGATCGACGACGCCCCTTCGACAGCAGTTGGGTCTTTCCAGTTAGCGGCAAGCCGACTTGGTAACCGTGCGGACCTCACAACTCCAGTCTCACGCACCTGACAGGATCCCACGAAGGGGATGTGCAAATTCGGCATCCAGTGTGCCAGATCCCAAGTCACCAGAGGGAGTTGGCACAGTCCGGAAATAATGCTGAGAAACATGGTGCAGACATGCCTGATCTCAAGCACTCTTGTTCCTGTAGAAGACCATTCGACACGGTTGTTCATGGAGTTTCGTCGAGTTTTGCATGCTTGCAGACATGGCATCCTCATCCTTCTCTGCTTCAGAGAAGTGACATTCATGTAACTGGGCACCTTCAGCTCTGACGCTACCATGGCAGATGCCGTTCCTCCTATCGTCGGAGTTGTCGGTGTCGGAACAATCGGCTCCGCCGTGGTGCGAGGCCTTTGCAAGTCTGGTCCCGAGACGCCCCCAAAAGGTCTTCGGGCCGTCGTGCTTTCACCGCGAGGCACTGCCAAAGCTGAGGCCTTGCGATCAGAGTTCCCCAAGATCGTCCGTGTCGCTTCCAGCAACCGTGAGGTCGTTGAGGAAGCAGATTGTGTCCTTGTTTCCGTGCTTCCGCAACAGGCAGAAATGGTACTGCAGGACTTGGCTTTTCGGCCTGACCAGGAGGTGATCTCACTGGTGGCAGGCCTGTCCGTCCAGAAGCTCCGGGACCTTTGTGCGCCCGCCCGCAGCGTCTCGATCGCCATCCCTTTCCCTTCGGTGGCCAAGCAAAGCGGGGCCGCCCTGCTCCTACAGCCAGGGCCTGGAGCGCGAGCTGTGTTCCGGCTGGTGGGCCGCCACGTCGCTGTCGAGGATTCGGAGCACTTCAGGCGCCTGATGTGCGTCTCTGGCCTCATGGGCAACTTCTACAAGCAGCAGCTCACTGCCCAGGAGCAGCGTCACTGTGTCACCGTCTTAGTCTTAGTCTCCGACTTCTTCCCCCCCGGACCCCCCGGCCCCGCGCTTTATGCACGTCCTTGATTGGCGACAGGAGTGGTTGGAAGAGGGTGGAGTCCCAGCAGACACTGCAGCCGCCTGGACTTCGGCCGCCTTCGGCGCCTTCGCTGCAGACAGCGCCGGAGCCACGCCGCACACATTTGCAGAGCTGCTTGCGGAGCAGACGGCTGGGGGCCTCAATGAGATGCTTGGCAGAGCGCCACACACTTTCATGCTTAATTCAACCCATATACGAGAGGGGAAGCACGGTCATCTAGATGGAAATGAATCGTTCTCGGCATATTCACACACACACACACGCACTTTGGTACCGACTTGTCGATTGGTATGTGTGCGCGTGAATCTACAAGCATCTGCACTGAGACAGTTGCCGGCTTAAAGGACGGCATGAGAAGCACGTGGAAGCCGAGCCGTGAGCGTGAGCAGCAGGTTGCTGGACAGATGTAGCGGTACAGACAGACATCGAGCGGTTGTTCCTTGCACAGGAAACTCAAAGGTAGGCCCTGCACCGTTTCGTTGAAGGAAAGTCTGGCAGCTGATGGAAGAGGACGGGAACAACGATGCGCTGCGCCACGTGTTGGAGGCTGTGCACCACCGCCTCCAACATGGTGCTTTCGACGCCTCCTTGGCACCCAAAGTGCAGCGAGCGCTCGGTGTTCAGGTTGGGATGCACAAAGGTACAAAGTTGCATGTTTCGGAAGGGCAAGAGATACCACGCACAGCAGTCATGCCATCCCTGAGGAGCAGGTGCCAGCATCTTTCATGGCGCTTTTCACGGCATGGCTCTCCGTTTGGCGGCGGTGGCGACGGCGCCGGTCTGCTCTGTGAGCTACGCAGCTTGAAGCGGGTTTCTGTACATACATTGAGAGAAGTTTAGTCCCATCCCAAGCCTACTCACTGAAAGGAGTTGCGCGGTGAAGGATTTGCGGGCCAAAAGGTGTGGTCGGCTGAGACATTCACTGTCAAGAGCAACCACATATCTCAATGATGATGCCAAAAAGCCCATCCGGACAGCAACTGAAGAAGCCCAAAAGCCTTGTGATAAACTGTACGATGCAGGGAAAAACCACTTGTGGAAGAAAAGCCCTGCATCCCGGAAACAAAGCGGTAGAGTACAGGACATATCTCAACACCTATTGGAACAAGGCGTAAACAATTCGCAACGCCTGTGCTGCAGCAACAGGCACGCGCCGATTGCCTTTACTCACATCCAGAAGGCAAGCAGCGGGGGCTAGCCGGACCCTGCCAGTTTGGTCGAACCTGAACAGCTCGACACCTTCCACCCCTGTGCCTCGCCCCGGAGAACAGATAGAACCCTCCAAGAAGCGCGTCACCGTCATTGCCAGGGCGAGTAGCCGTTGGCTTGGAGCCGAAAGTGTGCTTCTTCTGCAGAAGCCCCAGTGCAGTGCAAACCCGCTCTTGACTCACGGTGAAGGCTTGAGACTTCAGGTTGGGCTGGACCTTAGGAGGTGGCAGAGGGCATCGGATTTCCGATTCTGCTCCTCGCTTTTGGGTCTTGCTCGTGAGGCTGCAGAGGTCCTTGTGCGCTTTTGTAGGGGCTTCTGGTCTTCTGGTTGAAGTCTGTTCTGGTGGGACACTGTTTCTAACGGTGGTAACCTGGCCTCTGTGGCTCTCATTCTTCCTGAGATGCAAGCATTGCGCCTGCAACACCAGACTGCAGAGACATGGCAAAAGCGACCATGTGCTGATAGAGTTCTTATGACTTCAGTTCGTGTCTTGGCACAGGTGGGCAGGATGGCCACATCGCCACGGAGTGTCCGAGGAATCCGGAAAGCCTCACCTACGACCGGCAGGATCTGCGAAGGGCGAAACAGAGTTGAAGCTGTCCATTGAAAAGTCCCGGTTAGGAATCAGGGCATCGGAGAGGGAGGGTATCGGCTATCGCCGGCCCAAAGAAGCTCAAAAATTGTCTTGCAGTAGTCTAACCTGCGGTTGTTCCTGTCGCCAAGTGCTTCCTTTCACTTGACAGCATCATCTTGGAAGACCAGCGCACAAAAAAACAGAAAGCTGCGTCACTTCGAAGTTGCAGGCCGCCATGCGTGGCCTGGCGTTGCAGAACGTCGGGCACCTGTTTCCGAAACAGCTACAGCGTCTAAAGTATCTGCCACAAGTACTACTCACTACTCCCTACGACTCCTTCTTCAATAACCTCCGAAGTAACACAGGCCTCAGCACTTCGGAATGTTGGATTCTGGGATGATGGGCTCTTCAAGGGACCCGGGGGCTGTAGCGCGAGCTGTGGATCCCGGAAAGATTCCTTGATTTTCGAAGCCGGAGCCAGCAATGTAATGAACTGTAGGGGAATTACCAGACAATGTACATAATTAGCCACAGTAGCCCTCGATTTGAGCTTCGACAGGTGGTCTCACGGGAAATTCCTGCCGATACAGTACAAATCGGAATATGAGTGACAGGAGCTCTCCCTTTCACCATTTGGCGCTGGTTTGGCAGTTAAAATTACAAGATCATGCCGTAGATATATGTGTATTATATATGTATATATATATATATATATATATCATATAATATAGAATATATATATATATATATATATATATATATATAATATTATATATATTTTATATATATATATATATATATTATCAGATGTTGCAGCCGAACATGAGCCTGTTGCTGACGCTCGAGGGGGCGATCAAAGCCATCACGGCGGGACGCTTGTTCTGATGCCACTGCGAAGGCCAGACCGCTTACATCGTGTGACCTACATTGAATTCAGCAATTTCTGAGGTTGGAGGTCCGAGCATTCAGCAAACGACGGCCATCAGCAATTTCACTTGGTTTGCCGGAGAGTCTTTGGGAGCCTTGCATCTGTGTCCCGCGGAGGCGATGTGTTTGGCCGCCTTGGCCCCGGCCAGAGGGCACGACGTGTTGGGGATGGTGATCTCATAGTGATCTGATGGTGTGATGGTGGGTTTGCCGCTGTGTTGCTCAATATGGGAACCGCCGGGGAAGATCACACCGCATTCCCTTGCTCTTTGGTTTTGTAACGAATGTCGCCCTCTTAGGTTGTACATGAGCATCCTTTCAGCAAGCATGATGCCTTCCAGTTTTCAGACGCCTCGGCCGCACCAGGATGGCTCAAACTGTCCGCAGGAAGGATTCGGATGCCATATTTGCGGTACACAGGCTGTAAGCTTTGGGGCTTGACTCCCTAAACATGAACCGCACCCTAACAAAGTGTCCCAAAGGTGCCTGACCCAACGCCTAAGTGAGAGTTTGCGCTTTCACACGACCTTAGCATGCCTGTCAGAACGGCATCGGTGAAGTACCGTCGACTTTCCCTTGTGGCAAGAAGGAAAGGGACCTGCGCACCTCCAGCCGCGTTGTGAGAATGCCTGACAGCACCGTCAGCACTACTAAATCACGAAACAATAGCTTCACTGTCTTGGAAACTAATAACCGACACGAGAGCCATGAAGCACACGGCATGGGTTCGAAGAAGAGCGGCCGTCGCTGCAGTGGCCGTGGTGCTTCTGTTGAGACTGAAGGACGCAGCTACAGGTCCCATTTCCTTGTGAATCCAGCGGGCAACCGAGGGAAGCCGTGGCTTTTGGCTCCGAGGTTTCGGGATTGATTCTCAAAGAACTTGTGCGTAGGACTTTGCCTTTGCCACGACGAAGGGGGCAGCTCCCTTGTCTCTTGGCCGGAAAAGTAAAAAGTCCACATGAAGCGAAGTTCACAGTTCTGGTGTTGGGGCTGCTTTCTGACTTCGGGTCTGGCCCAGAGCGGAACTCTGTAAAACTATACAGTGACAGACTCAGATTCGGAAGGAGGCCACTAACCACGACATCTGAGATGATGTGAAGTGAATGGCGATCGTCGTATGTCCTTTGCAACTTGTCCACGACGCTGCCTCCTTTCCGAGGCGTGATTTCAGAGTCGGCCAACAGTTGCGAGGTTCGCGACCCTGCGCCATCCACAAAGAAAGATATCGAAAACGAGTAAGAACAGAGACATGCTTAGTTGCTGTGTTTGCATTTTGCGGTTGTTCTGGATTCTGGACATCTGCTCGAATAATGTCATCCTTTCGCAGGTGTTGTGTCGTACGTTGCTGACAAAGTGGCGATGGTGGATGTTGGCGCGGAAAAGGAGGGCCTCATACCTATCTCGATGATGGGAGCTGCTGCGGGCCCGGGATCTGCAGGCAGTTGCTTCGACTGCGTTCGTGAAGGTGAAGAAGTCGACGTCTGGGTGAGTGAGATTTCCCATCCAGAGGACCTGCGGCGCAGCAAGCTCGTCCTCTCGAGAGAGAGACTTCCGAAGCAGGCTGGGAAAGTGGCCAATGTCACCCAATTCCAGTCCAAACTGGGGAAGGTCTGGTTCAATGGCACGGTCAGCCGACAGCAAGCTTATGGCATCTTTGTGCAGATCGAGGCACCTGCAGGCGACGGGTTCATCGAAGGTCTCGTCCACCGAACGGAGTGCACGAGCAACGAGACGGTGGGCAGCGAAGTGCAGGTGCGGGCTGTGCGCCTGGATCCCGAGAAGAACCATCTCTACCTCTCCATGCGGCCTGCCTCCGACAAAGGGGTCGAAGCCAGGCCCGCCACCTCCCCCCACTACCGGCTCAAGCATGCTACTGACCTACTGAACTGCTATTTGAAGTTCTTTACTTTAACTAGCAGAAGGGCAATAGCAGAAAGTTGGCGCCAATCCCGTGCACCTCGCATGCGTGTAGTAAAGAATCCCGGAGTCGTTTCCTCGAACTTTGTGCCCTCGGGCCTCCTTGGAGCCTTCTTTCCAGGCTCGCCGCCTTCAAGGACCTGGCGAAAGCTCGCCAGGTCCTGCCGGGCACCGTGCTTCGTCAAAGTGGGAGGTTTGGAGCCTTCGTGGAGGCCGACAGGGGTCTGAGGCATATCTAAAGCGTAATGCTATGAATCTCTGAAGGTTCATCTTTGGGTTACTGACGCTTACTGTAAGGGGATCCCATGGCCCTTCACTAAAGAATGTATCCGGGGGGGGGCGTGACGTCTGTTACCAGAGGCCTGCGGGAACATTTCGCAAATCACGATGATGACGATGGTTGGGGTGCACCCCCGTTCCGGTAACATAGTCAGCCTGCTGGTGTAGCCCCACATATTCCCACAATGCAATAAGGCTGATTGACGATGCTATTAGGTTCACGGTCTCTCGGACTCTCACGGCCTCTCTCTCACATCTCTCACTCAACCATTCATTGTCTTTTTCTGTCTCGCGGCTTGGGTGCTGCTGGCCACGGTGGTCGGCAACGACGAGGTGGTGTGCCGTGCCCTTACGGAGTCGCGGTGCATTGGACACATTGGAATACATTGGACGTTGTTCGCTCTGCCCATTCTTCCCAGGTGGTGCTTTGCCCCTGTGGATGCGGCGGACAGAGGAGCCTCGAGAGAGAGAGGGAGAGAGGCGAAGCCGCACGCAACATGTCGTGACCCTTTCGAGTTTGTGTTTTCGAAGGGCTGCAGGCATTTTGCCTCTTCGGGCGACACACCCGGCAACGGCGAGCAGAAGCAGCAGCAGCAGCAGCAGCAAGCACCAGAGGCATACCATGGTCTGTGTCAGATTGAAGCATGCGAACCCTAGAAGTATCTAGAAGTGTACCCATCATGGTTTGGAGATGTTGGTACCGCTCTTATGGCGAGACACGGAGGGTGTGTCTTCGACTCAGCTTTTGTTCCTTTTCGTGATCACTGCTTCCCGGGCACGTCTCTGGAACATGTTTGAACCGAGTCAAATTTCAATTCGTCGGTGGCGATCTCACCAGCTCGAAGTTCGACTCTTTGAGGAAGGCATCGGAGATCATCGGAGCATTGTTTTTTTTTGGCGGCAGCATTTGCATCCATGGGCCAGGCGAACCGTTGGGCATCTGAAAGCGGGCAGCCACCTGCTCGGCTCTTAATTTTAATCGGACCTTGCTTTTGTTTCTCCGCAACTTAGCTAGTCTGGCAGGTGCCCTCGGACCTGTGTGACAAAGCCTCTGCCGGGGTCTTGGACTACGGTTATGCCGTGCAGGCACCGCGGTCGTGAAGTGTGGGTCCGGGATTTTGGAGATTGTTTTTTTTTAAGGAACTGGCGGGGTTGAAACTCCGGGATGTGCAGCTCGTCGTGGCCGATCAGGCCTACGAGTGTTCACAGGGGGCATTGGGTCCGAAGATGTCCGAGGGCTTGTGCAAGCAGCATGCCTGCCTGGGTCTCCGGGGAGCAATGCTGTATCCAGGGGGTTACGGGATTCAGGTGGGTCTTGGCTGTCACTTTTTGCTGCTGCAGCTTTCGTTGGGCAGGCTTCAGTGGATCCAAATCCAGATCATCACACCCACACTCGCACCCACACCCGCACACGCACCATGGCTTTCCGTTCGTGGTTCCGCCTGGGTGGGGTTTGGGTTTCGGGGTTTACGGCTTGGAGCTTGAGCTTCGGGGTTCGCAGTTCCTAAACCCTGGACCCCAAAGCCCCACAACCTGCCCTTCCCTCTCTTCCCTTACTGTAACCCATCTCGACGATTTTTTTCCTGGCAGGGCCACACCGAGCTCTGTGCCGATTCCAAGGAGGCCGGACTGCTGCGAAGGGTTTATGGGCAGGATCCGTTGAGTGCGGGCCTCTGGGTGGTGTCCTTCACTTCCTGGCGACAGTAGTGCTGTGCAGGATCAGTTGCTAACCGTGCGAAGTCACTGCTCAAAACGGCAGCGCATGCTTGATTGCCATCATGGATCAGTCTGAATCCTAACTGTGAACACATGGCCTTCTGACCCCAGGAACTTCTAACTTCTGGCCCATGGATCCTTCGTCAGCACGAAGCCAAACTGTGAACTTATGGCTTAGATCCTCTAGGTCGGAGAAATCATGAAATCTGCTGTGTAGGTTTGACTTACATTCGGATACGTAAATCCTTTAACATGTCGTCGTGAGCGGAGCCTCGCCATCGCATCCTGGCTGCTTTGATCTCTGCCTTCGTCGTGCAGCTGCATAGGATTGGGTTGCTCCCATGAAGAAGCCTGCTGCAAAGTCGAAGGCGATGAAGGCCATGAAGGCCAACAAGGCCATGAAAGCCATGAAGGCCAGCAAGGCGATGAAAGCCGTGAAGGCCATGAAGAGCATGCCGGCGAAGAAGCCAGCGATGAAGGCCATGAAGACGGAGCCCGCCAAGAACGATGACAGGAAGAAAGATGACGACAAGAAGCCGGCCGATGACAGGAAGAAAGATGACGACAAGAAGCCGGACGATGACAGGAAGAGCTATGACGACACGAAGCCGGGCTTGCCAGACTGGGCGGTAGGACTGGCGGACTTCAGGTCGCAGTTGCATGGCCGGTCCGTGGTGGAGGTGGCCCAGGTGGAGGAGAGAAGAGTGATCATGTTCGAGTCGGTCTCTTTGACCGATTCGATCGAGGCAGTCCTCGAGCGCATGGAGGACACTGGATGTGGTGACTCCAGCGATGAGTATGTTGCTGTGGGCATGGCCGTGTGTGTCATCAAAAAAAAGAAAGATGACTCGAAGAAGGACGATGACAGCATGGACGATGATGACGAAAAGAAGGACAACGACAGCGAGAAAGATGATGACAAGAAGAAGGACAACGACAGCGACACGTCATCATCGTCATCGACTCGTTGGATTTCCCGTGCAGCTGGTCTGTGCAAGTGATAGCAAGTGAGAGCAGCCGGTGTAACACAGCACAACATATCAACACACACACACACACACACGCACAGCACATGCAGCACACACACACACACACAGCAACCACACACAGCACATCACAGCAGCAAAGCCAGCAGCAAAGCTAGCAGCAACTCCAGTTTCACACGAGGGGTGAGTTTCAAGGCCGAGTGTGCGGGGTGTGTCTGGGTTCTAACACTACATAGCACTAGGGGTGGAATCGGCCGCATCCCTATATCCTAGGCATAGGCCGGGCTACGGGGTAGTATATGGGATTATATGGGGGATGACATGCACACCTTGCACATTCGGCCAGCTCGTTGTTTTTGGTGAGTGGAAATGCTTGCTTGCCTCTCTCCTGTCCCGCTTACAACCCCCCTAAGATTTCAGGGCACCCGCCTTCCGTCCCCTAGGTATTCGGGGTGTTTTTTGGTTTCCGTTCTTTGGGGGTTTGGTTGTCGTGCCTGGGGTTTGTTCGTGCATTCGCTTCGGTTTCGGTGGGGTTTGGGCTTCGGGGTTTGGCGTTTGGGCTTGGAGCTTGAGCTTTGGGGAGTCCCCGAACTTCGAACCCAAACTGTAAACCCGGAACCCCAAAGCCCGAACCTCGACCCCACCCGAACCCAAACTTCGAACCCAAACCCCAAACCCGGAACCCCAAAGCCTGAACCTCGACCCCACCCGAACCCAGACCCGAAGCCTAAAGCCTAAGCCTCAAAGCCCAAGCCCCATCAAGCCCCCGAACCCCTTTGTCCATTCCCGCCGCCTGAAGCCATCCCGAACTCCCCCTTTAAGCTCCATTGTCCTGCAGGCTGCGAATTCTTCCCTGGTGCCGATAGCCTGGACCTTGGCATCCTTGGTCTAGCCTCCTTGCTGCCCTTTTGCTCCCCCTTCCTTCCCTAGGTCTCTGCAGATGCACCGGATGATGCCAAGGCCGGGGTTCTTGGGTTTACAGTGGTGGCTGTCCGACTCCTTTGCTCCTGTTGTGCGACCAGGATGCTCCTGGTGAACATGAGGACCGGGGCGCTGGGGTTCATTGGCATTCGCTTGGAAGCTTGTCTCCCGGTCAGGCTGATGCTCTGGTTCTCGACGACAAGGTAGGGAAGAGGCCTTCGGTTCCTACGTGCCCGTGCGCTTGTTGCTCCCTTGAGGCCGGTGATGCCGTGGTTGAAGACAACACCGACAAGGTTGGGCCCCAAACATGCGTTGGCAAAATGGCACCCCTGGCCTCGTTCCGTGCTCGCACCCCATAACCGTTCCTAACCTCTGCAGGTCATCACTCGTGGGGCCGTGGACTCCTCGGCTTGGGCCTTGGATCCTGGGTCCTTCTACTGGGTTGACTGGATTCAACTCGCATGCGGAGGTCTGTGCTGGCTCTGTGGTACCCGCTGTCTGGACCTTGGACTTCAGCTTCCTTCGCTGCAACACAGCTACTTGTGTACCCCGCCAGGCTCCGCTTTCCGATCGTTCCGATGCTGCTGGGCCCTTGAAATTTCTGGGGTTCTGGCTTTGCGGCTTTGGTTTCTGCTTGTTGCTCTGCCTTAGGATCCTGGTGTGAGCTTGATGCCAACATCGGCTGAGGTTGGACCTTCCGGATTCATTGGTAGGTGCACGTTGCTTTGCACCAGGTCGCCAGGCCGATTGCCGTGCCGCTGGAGGCAGGTTTTTGATCCTTGCAGCCCCTGGGATGCTGATATATGCTGGTCAGGCCTTGGAGCAGCCGGTTCCCGTTCTACCTCCGGTACATGGAGCAGCTGAGGTTGGACCTTCCGGATTCATTGGTAGGTCCACGTGGCTTTGGCTTTCCAGTGATGCCAGCCTTCCTGAGTTCTATGCGCTTGGTTTGTGTGGGTGTCCCCGGGAATGGTTTTTGGAGGGCAAAAAAGGATGCTGGGGACACCTCGCCCGGAGCCCCCTTTTCGGCTTTCCAGTGACCGCGACTGGATTGCGTGAGGTCGCTGAAGCTTTGGAGCAGATGGTACCCATCTTGCAGGTGCGGGTGCTTAGGCCACCGCGCCCTGACCTTTGTTCCCCGCTTGGCTGACGACTGGAAGGCTTCCTTGAGTGCTGCTCCCCTGGCTGTGGTGTTGGCCTGAGTCAGACTTGCACGCAATCGTGCCTGGAGAAGCAGTAGCCTGGAGGATCCGGCGAAGCAAGCCAAAACCGAGCCGGTGCAGGAGGCAGGGCTTGGGCATACTTTGCCAGTGTGCGGCTGCCTTTGTTGCTCTCCCATCCTGCCTTGGATCGCGTGAGGTCGCTGAAGCTGTGGAGCAGACGGTACCCATCTTGCAGGCACGGATCCGGACCGTAGCAGCCGTAGCAACCCCCATGCGCGGGTGCGTGTGCTTGGGTCACCGCGCCCTGACCTCTGCATGTTCCCCTGCTTAGCTGACAACTGGAAGGCTTCTTCGAGTGCTGCTCCCCCGGCCGTGGTGTTGGCCTCACTGCAGACTTGCACGCAATCGTGCCTGGAGAAGCAGTAGCCTGGAGGATCCGGCGAAGCAAGCCAAAACCGAGCCGGTGCAGGAGGCAGGGCTTGGGCATACTTTGCCAGTGTGCGGCTGCCTTTGTTGCTCTCCCTTCCTGTTTCATCCTGCCTGGAGGATTCGGCGAAGCGGGCCAAAACTTTGGCTAAAACCGAGCCGGTGGATGAGGCAACGAGTCCTGGCCTGGGCGTACTACAAACAAACACGCAGCTCCTGCCGAGGCCATGCCACATGTGCCGCCTGCGTTCCCTTCTGATGCGGTTCGGGAGGACTCAGACGCCACCCTCAAACCTTAAGCCTTAAACCGTGCAGTTCAGGTGGCAGGTGGTGTGAACCCAGTTATGTATGGCTGAGTGGTAGCCAGGCACATGGTGGCAACTGGGTCCAAGGTCTTTTTGCTTAGCCTGCCAAACAAACTGGCGCCCAATAATCGTTTTTCCCTTTCTAAGCTCGCAAAGGGACAAACACAGGAACCCAAGGATGATTCCCATAAGGCTTTCTTCCCGGCCCCCAAAGATAGCTTGGAGTCGGTGGCAAGGATCCGGCGAAGCGGCCGAAAACCGAGCAGGTGCAAGAGGCAGGGCTCGAGCGAAGTTTGCCAGCCGAGAACCACACAGCCGAGTGCAGAATAACCAAGCCAGGGCGCTTCGTGACTTAATTGGAAGTGTCCTGATGAATGGGTCTTGGAGCGCACAACAATCACCAGCACACGCTTTGCTTTTTCACGGAATTATTTGAGGGTTCCTTCTGGAGAAGCACGTACAAGCACGTAAACGTTACCGGGGTGGGGGTCTAGGTACGGGAAGGCTCGGGCAGGGCACGCTTTGCAGACCGTGGACCCCTGTCTTGGTAACCTTTCCGGGGCTGCCGGTGGTGCTTCTGGGAATTCCGGGGAAACCTCAGGGTGATTTGCTTCGTGACGGGATCGGCTCCTTCTCTTATTTGAGGGTTCCTTCTAGAGAAGCACGTACAAGCACGTAAACGTTACCGGGGTGGGGGTCTAGGTACGGGAAGGCTCGGGCAGGGCACGCTTTGCAGACCGTGGACCCCTGTCTTGGTAACCTTTCCGGGGCTTATGGTGGTGCTTCTGGGAATTCCGGGGAACCCCAGGGTGATTTGCTTCGTGACTGGATCGGCTCCTTCTCTTATTTCTGGGTTCTTTCTAGAGAAGCACGTACAAGCACGTAAACGTTACCGGGGTGGGGGTCTAGGTACGGGAAGGCTCGGGCAGGGCACGCTTTGCAGACCGTGGACCCCTGTCTTGGTAACCTTTCCGGGGCTTCCGGTGGTGCTCCTGGGAATTCCGGGGAACCCGAGGGTGATTTGCTTCGTGACGGGATCGGCTCCTTCTCTTATTTCTGGGTTCCTTCTAGAGAAGCACGTACAAGCACGTAAACGTTACCGGGGTGGGGGTGTAGGTACGGGAAGGCTTGGGCAGGGCACGCTTTGCAGACCGTGGACCCCCCTTGCGGTAACAATTCCCGCTTGCTTCTGAATCCAGCAAATTTGCCGCGATCAGCTCTCTCCTGCGTGGCCAGGCGGAGAAGGGCAAGCTGCTCAAGGCTGAGAAGGTGGATCCGGGTCAGGCCCGATTCCCGTGTGCTGCGGGTACACACACACACACACACACACACACACACACCCAAGACAAAGCGATGCTGACCCGCAGGTGCTTGGTGGGTGGCAGCCATCGTCGATTCCCACGAGGAGGCCGTGGCAAGTCTTGCAGGAGGACGTGCGGTCTCAACTGGACGAGTCTGGTTTGGCGATCAGCTGGGATGGAGAGCCTATGCTGCTCGCCTAATCTAGCTGTCACAGGTAGAGGTGACTGACAATTCTGTGCACCTGTGGATGAGGTTCTCCTTGAAGCAGGAGGTCTGGGAGTCCATCCTTGATGTCATGGGCTGCAACTTTCGCAGGGACTATGCAGACACGGCCATGATGGAGGCCGCCGCCTACATGAACTACATCGAGAAGGGCAAACTGGCTGAGAAGTGGTCCGAGGAGAAGTTGAAAGGGGCTTGGCTACCTCAGGACCATTTGGGCTTCGTGGCAGCTCGGAGGTCTCGCTGGCAAGGCTATCTGGAGGACTTGCGCATGCCTACGCTAGACCGGAGTTCCTTTCGTGAACGAGTGGAGTGCCTGCCAAAACGGCGCAGACAGCTGCTGGAGCTGCTTACGAGGGTTCTGCCAAAGATCTTCAAGGACTGCAGACTGGATTTCCGGGAAGCGAAGCAAGAGCTTGACGAGGAAGAGGCCGAGAGAGCATCGCCGCCAGAAGCTGAGAGCACTACAGCGAAGCGTGAGCCGCCGACAGAGGCGCCCAGCACGCCTCGCAGGACGTCTCGTCCCAGACTACCCGATAAGTCGCCCGTGCATGAGAAGCGGCCCATGGCTGTGCGGGGCCAGGGAAGGGTGGAGGACCCAGCAGATGAGGACAGCGACGAGGACATTGGCATCTTGGACTTGGTGAACCGAAAGGCAGCAGATCTGGTGGAGGAGGCTGCCAAGTCGAAGCGCAAGCCCCGAGCCAACAAGAAACCTACCAAGAAGGAGTTGAAGGGCAAAGCCTTGGCCGAACTGCAGACTGCGGGGCTCACTCACGGGAGCTTCGTCCGGCACCACCAGGAGCTCAAGAAGGATTGCGGCAAGGGCCACTTCGAGCAGTTCCTGCTCGCTCTGAGCAGAAAGGAGAAGATGCCTTGCAAGGCATGCCAAGCTGTGCAGCGACGCCTGATGCCGGCGCCGCCCTCTCAGACTCCTGACGTCCTGGTGCAGTCAGAAGCTTCGCAGCCGCAACCTTCGGAAGCTCTGGTCCCTGCCGGCCAGGTGGATTTGCAGATTGCCGCAGTTGATGATGCTCAGTCTGCTGCTGCTCGGAGAGGTCCTGGCCGACCCAAGACAGGAGAGAGAGCAGAGACCCTGGCTGAGTGGATCGCTGCAAACCGACCCGCTGGAGCTTATGTGCAGCAGACTGCGAAGGTCTTCTTTTGCACTCGCTGCCAGGCGAGTGTCAATGTCTTCAGGCCCACTGCTTGCGGCCGAATTTGGATAGAGCGACATGAAGCCAGGAACCATAAGGAGGTTGCTAGCAAGGACGAGGCCCACCCATGTCCCGGCATCATCGTGGGCGACGGGCATCACCGCATCGACTATGCCCCGGAGGCGCTTCGGAAGTGGGTCGAGGGTGGGATGCTCTCGCTCCAAAACGATGCCGACAATGTCGTGGACAAGACCTTCTCTTGGGCGGAGGACCATTTGCTGCTTCGGTCAGCGGAATGCTGCCCCGTGTCTGGGCAAGGAGCTTGCAAGGCTTGTCTGAAGGCGGCGGGCGATCGGAACTTCGTGGAGCAAGCAATCCAGATGGCCTTCCGACAGGAGCTGGGAAACTACGCCCAGGCATTGGTTCTGGGTAGCGACGAGGACCGACAGAGACTTTGGTCGTCCCTGACCGAGACGGACTGGAAGGTATCCAAACAAGTCCTCGCGGACCTTGCGAAGCTCAGAGAATGCGAGACTCCGCTCGCCCGCCTCAATTGCATCAAGTGGAAGCTCTGCAGTGTCAAGCAGGAGTACCGAAGTGCCCGCTACGGTGCCTGGCTCGAGGCGACCGTGACCAACCTTACCATGGGCCAGGAGACCGAGGATGAGAGGAGGACGTATGGCGTTCTCTGCAGCACCTTTGCCCAGGAGGTTGCCTCAGGCAAGATGGACAAGAGCAACCTCAAGCTTGCCTCCCAGATAGCCGCAAACTCCCTCAAGGGCGA